GCTGCTTTGAGGATCACGAGTCCCAGTTACAGCTTAAAATTAACATGTTTTCTTATTGTACAGACAGAATCAGACTGCAGAGCTTCTAAATATCTTGAAATGTTTTTTGGCATCATTATATTAGCAAAGAGGTTCAAAAATCTTTTTTAAACAGAGCACAGAGAGAAGCAGGTAGAACTGCAAATATAAAGGTGAAACAGATTTACTGGGATATGCAAGATGCAATAAAAAATATATTCCAATTTTACCAGAAACTTTACATGAAAAAAAAAATCCTATACTGTATTTAAAATGCAGCATATCCATGTTTATCTGGATGGATAGAATTTAAATTGTACTTCTAGGGATGCATGATATATCGATTTCGGCATTGGAACCGGCTGTTATAAATATACATAACACAAATATCAGTATATTATGGTTCTCTTGTGTTCTTAACAAAAGGAAAGCATTTAATAAATATATGTTTAAGCTAATTTTTGGAAAATTCAAAAACCTAATGAAAGCATTCGGGTCGGGTAACCTGGATGTTAGAAATGGTTTTTATAAAGTGCTGACACTAAAGATTTCAATTCCTTCAGAAATATGCCTTCTTTATTAGCCTGTTAACGTCTTCTCCCATTTAACAGGATTCAACTTGTTCCTGTTTCTTCCGAAATCTACAACCATCTCCTTGTTTTGTTGCCATTCAGTATTAGATCATTGTTTTCACACCATGCATCAGAGCGGTTCACCAGCTCTCCGTTCTCAGTTTCTTATCCATCTTTTATGCATCTACTGACTGCAAAGTAATCTAAGTATTCCTGCAGATGACAGGACTCTGTCTGGTAGTGAAAGTCAGACGTGCACAGAGTAAAAAGGAAGGGTGAGATTACAGCCCCCTGTGGTGCTCCTGATTGATTAGACAGCTGACCCTTCAGCCTAATAAACTGGCCGTCTAATAAACTAGGATCTGTTTGTCTTTGATCCAGGTGATTGTTGATGCCTCCACCTGAGTCTTCTGGAGTATATCACAAAGTAAGTCAGGCTGAATCTTGTTAAATGCTTGAAAAACAATCTAAAATAAGTAAAAATGTCTTAAATTAAGTGTATTTACCCTTAATTTGAGCAGATAAATGACATAGTTTGGAATGAGTATTTTTACTCTTAAAATAAGAAAATTGGATAATATGCACTTGAAATAACACAATGCAATTGTCTTTTCTTATTTTAAATGTAAATTGACTTGCTCCATTGGCAAAATGTCTCTTTACCTGCTCAATCCAATAAAAAATGCACTTATTTTAAGATAAAATGACTTATCTGGAATTCCATTTTTTCCAACCATCTGGTTCATTCTCTCCAGTTGCCACTGCAGCTGACCTACACTGGAAAAACAATCTAGAAATAAGTACAATTTCCTTAAATTAAGTGTATTTACTCTTAATTTGAGTAGGTAAATGTGATGATTTGCCAATGGAATGAGTATTTTGACACTTAAAATAAGATAATTAGATAAAAATGCACTTAAAATGAGACAATGCAATTGTATTTTCTTATTTTAAGTGTAAATTGTCTTGTTCTATTGGCAAAATGTATCTTTTACCTCCTCAATCCAAGAACAAATGCACTTATTTTAAGAAAAAATGACTTATCTTGATTCAGATTTTTTTTCCAGTGTATAAAAATAGGCTGGGATGGGGCAACTGGAGCAGCATCATCTTCTGATTTGGTTGAGAACAAACACATTAAGAGAGGAGGGTTCATAGCAGAGATGAAAGATGGAACATTTGAGGCCTGAGGGCAGTTTTAGGTCAAAGGCAGGCTGGGTTTCCATGTGACTGTTGGCAACAAAGATGGATGCTGAGTTTATTCCTGAACTGAAGCTGTTAAAGAATGTATTCAGTTCATTTGCTCTGTCCAGACTTCCATCTTCCATCATCCCTGCCCACACAGCCCTGATATGTCACTATGCTGTAGCCTGTTTTACACCCTCTCTCTCTATGCCTCCTTGCTTTTTCTTATCTTAACTTGACTCTGCATTCTCCTAAATAATCTCCTTTATCTCTTTCTGATGGCTGCTTTTCTTGTTTATCAGTTCCTTCTGTTAATTGGTGAACCAGGGATCATTACTGGGGAAGCATTGCACTTTTCTGTTGGGAAAAATTTTATCCACACAGTTTATACAGTCAGTTACACAATTCCCCTCCATTTGTCTGATGTGCATCCCAGTCTGTAACCTCAAAACAACCATGCATGATTTTTGTTCTGTGGCCACTCTCTCATTGTTCTTTTATAAAAATAAAAAATAAAAACCTTCTATTCTGAGGAGAGAAAAACAAGATGATGTTGCTTTAGAGATGTATGCATCCTTGACATTTATATAAACAAGGCCAGAAGTTGGTTTTGTCTGGTCAAGCTGCTGAAAAAAACCTTTGGAAATGCAGCAGAGTCCTGATACCTGTGATTAAAATTGTAAAGATTTTACCATAAATGCTGATGGGTGTCATGTCAGAAGATATGAAGTGTGAACAACACTGGTGAACTCTCTGGGTAAGTAATATGGACAGAAAGTCACTGCCAACCAATAAATATCTGGGCTACAGAGACAATACAAGACTAATTTATGCTCTTCTCTATGTAGATCTGCGAAAACATTCTGAAACACAGCAGGGAGGGCTTCTCCTACACCAGGCATCCCCAAACTCGGTCCTCAAGGCCCCCTGTCCTGCAGGTTTTAGAGGTTTCTCTGCTTCAGCACAGCTGGTTATAATGATTGCAGTAGACCAAAAGTCTGTTAATCAGCTTTCAATTAAAATCAGCTGTGCTGGAGCAAGGAAACCTCTAAAACCTGCAGGACAGGGGGCCTTGAGAACCTAGTTTGGGGATGTCTTTCGTACACAAACCATCCTGTCCGGGGAGTAAAGCATCCAAGCTAGTTTCCTATCAATGCACTTGTTGAGTCTGCTGAGCAGGTTTTTAAACCAGAAAAGTTAATATAATGGTTATGGAAGGACATCAAAACGGCCGACAGTGGCGTCAGATGTAGGAGTTTTCCATAAAATCGAAGGGTTGACAGTTCAAGCTCCAGCTTTCAGTGTTGTGTCCCTGGGCAAGACACTTCACCTGCATTGCCTACTGATGGTGTCAGTGAGCCCCAGGGCAACTGTGGCTACAATGTAGCTTGCTACTATCAGTGTGTGTGCATGAATAACATCTTTGTCATCCGAGACCTACAAGGAAATAAATAGTGTGACTTCGCCCGGAACATCAGAAATTTCTTCACAACCACACACCGCCATTTTCAGGGTCAATCTTTCAGCTCCAGACTCGACGTTTGGTGCCAGAAATGCTCATTAGGAGTGCGTTAATATAATGGTTATTGAAGGACATCAAAATGGGCGACAGTGGCGTCAGATGTAGGAGTTTTCCATGAAATCGAAGGGTTGACGGTTCAAGCCCCGGCTCCAGCTTTCAATGTCGTGTCCCTGGGCAAGACACTTCACCTGCATTGCCTACTGATGGTGGCGTCATTGAGCCCCAGGACAGCTGTGGCTACAATGTAGCTTGCCACCATCAGTGTCTGTGCATGAATTATTTAATGCAGTGTAAAGTGCTTTGAAGTCTCCTGACTCAAAAAAGCGCTATATTAGTACCGGTAATTTACCATAATTGAATAAAAGACTCTGCATATGCTTTAAAACATTGCTAATGATGCATTTTTACAGATACTAATGAAGTTATTCAACAAAAACAATACAAATCCAGAAGAAGCTGTGGAGACCACAGAGTAGTCAGATGCTTCTCCTAAACATAAACTACAACAAAGATTTTTCTTTTACCTCCAGGTGCAGGAATTGCTTTTCTTAGCCAAATATGCACAGTGGGGCCAAAAAGTATTTAGCCAATAACTAAAGATCAACTCAATCCACTATAATTTACAAATACATTCTTTAAAAATCCTACAATGTGATTTCCTGGATTTTTTTTTTCTCATTTTGTCTCTCATAGTTGAAGTGTTCCTATGATGAAAATTACAGACCTCTCTTATTATTCTAACTAGGAGAACTTACACAATTAGTGGCTGACTAAATACTTTTTGGCCAAACTGTATTTTCACCTTCTGTTACTTTAAGGTTGCAAACCTCAATGTGCTTCTTTTTTGCATATAGTTTAGGACAGTTGTAATGTGGAAATGAAAGCGATACGTTTATCTTTTCAAATTAAACTCTACAAAGTATATGCTGCATTCAGCGTCATTTTAACCTGGAGAGAATAACACAAAGATTTTATTGACATGAATTAAATAAGTTCTTTGGGGTTTAGAGCCCAGCAGACAACTTGATGCTGAGAACTGATGGATCGTTTATAAAGAGGATTGTAGTAGTCTTCCCTCTTCAGGGACCGGATACTGGTGGTGGAATAGGCCAGAGGATGAATGGGTCTGAGAATAGCCTGAGAGAGAGGGAGGAGGCGGGTAAAGGTTCATGCAGGGGAAATGCTGGATGTGGAGCTTATGAAGCTTTTGGACGAGGATTATCTTCAGAGGTGGTGATCCAGGTGAATTTATGCTTCAGCTTTATTTCTGTTGAACCCTTCATAAAGTTAACTGCCCTCCAAAGTTCCCCAATAAGTAAAGACAAATCATAGTGTAAATATTAAAACATGAAAAACGCCTTAAGTGAAAACGGACAGCAAATAATCTGTGTCACACTAATTGATCCGTTCATCTTCAAGAGGAAAATGATGTTAAAAGATATCCGGTTAAAAGTTAGAATTAAGCACAAATTGTATGTTTTTATGTAATATTACTTTCTAATATGCAAAGTCAAAAGACAATTAAGTACCTTTTTTTTGTTTTACTTTACAAAATGCTCCACTTTGTTGTCTGTCACATTAAATCCCCCAAAATACAGTTTACAATTTAAAAACATTCAGGTTTGATAAGTAGGAAAATAGTTATGGTTCTCTGCTAAGTATTCTACCTACTGTACATACATCAAACATGCCGACAAAACAAGACATTTTCCTTTTTTTATTAGAACGTTTTAATTTACAATGGAAAAAAATAGCTACTGTGTCTAAATAATGACAATCTGAGGATAAAATAAAAGACATTTAGAGGACTGAAGTGGATGTAGAGACAACGCTGCCGGGGATCACAACACCGTGTCGAGGAATCACTGGGACAAGCGGCTGCACTGGTGCGAGAAACATGGACTGCTTGAGACGCAACACATAATTGGAGTTTTATGAGAAGAAAGATGGCCGTCAACTCGGCACACCAAGAGCAACTAAGACGCAGAATATGGTCGCCGTCTTCGTAGCAGCTCGGCGGAGACAGATGAGAACCATGTGGTAGAAATGTCAGTAACTTCAACCACATTGATTTCACCTGTCAGAACGAGGAGCAACAAGATGGCGTCTGGACTCGCCGTCCTTCCTGTTCTGCTGTTTAGTCAAAACAGCAGTCAGCTAATGTGTGTGAGAAAAAAAACATTAAAATCCCAAAGCATGAAACATGTATAAAAGAAAATGAAAAGCATCAAACTAATTACCAAGATTCTATTTATTTTATTTTGAAAAAAAAATGTGTGGATTGAATTATTAAGAGCAACATTCACTCCTTTAAAAATCAACAATAATCTTCAGATATGTCATTGGTTTTATTTACTGTATCTGGATTTATTTAGTGACCTACCAAGGGGCTACAAATCCTAATTAACTTTAGTCTTTTTCTCTACATTCCAACAGTATTCCCACTTTAGATAACTGATCTATTTTTTATCTTTGTGTTTATTTCTTGGTTGAGGCTGAAGTTTCAGGGAATAACTGAGTTTGCAGACACGTTTAAATTTAAACTGAGAAAAAGGAATAAAAAATGAAAACAAACAGAAAAGCAGACACACTGCACCTTTTTAAACCAAGCAATGAACGTTAGCCTCTGCATCCGTGTTTTATTCTCACATGCTTTTAGGTACGACTGCTGTAATGAGCTACACTCTTTAACAACAACATCTATGTCATCCGAGACCTACAAGGAAATAAATAGTGTGACTTCGCCCGGAACGTCAGAAATTTCTTCACGACCACGCACCGCCACTTTCAGGGTCGATCTCTCAGCTCCAGACTCGACGTTCGGTGCCAGAAATGCTCATTAGGAGTGCGGACTGGGGGGAGGAGGGGGAGGGCGTGTGAGGAGAGTCCAGAGAGGAGCCACATGAAAGGTGGAGGTGGAGCTGTCAGGTTCTGGAGAGCAGCCATTATTACGCCTCCAGCTCGAAGCCCATGCCCACTTTATGCCCGCCTGCTTGGAAGTTCTTCCCGTCGATGAGGGCTGAGAGGGTGACCTTAACCCCTGCAAGAACACAGCAACAATTATCCCATTAGGAGAGAATCAGTCCGACCTTTTCCGACTCTGGATTTACTTCTGAAAGGATCCTGGAAGCAGAGCATTTAGCTAGAGGTGTGCATTTTTACAGGGACAAACAGAAGCTTGGAAAAAGTGGTGGAAAAAGTGTGTCTGATGTGTGGTGGGCAGAGCTTCCCTATCCTTTCTTTGCCTGTAACAATGGCAGCCATATTTGCTGTTATAAGTACGTAAAAACTAGTTTTAATATGTTTTTAAGTGAGAAAGTCCACCTGAAAACTTAATCTGTGCAGTCAGTTCATCCAGATTACATCCTGCCTTCAAATATCATTTCACTGTCAGAGCCACTCAGACCCCAGACACCGGCTCTGTCCTGGGAATCCCGTTCAACAGCAGCCTTTGGCCCGGTCGCCTCTTCGCGGTTTGCAACAGCGCTGGAAGGCGTTTTTCACGTAATCCAAACTGCAGGCACCAGAATAATAAAACCGAACATGTTTTTCCGGAAGGTTTCGGCATTGTAAGTAAA